ACAGCAAACAAATCCACTCCTGGCCCAGAAGCAACCTCATCCCCAGGCTGTACTCCTAAGAATGCACTTGTTCAAAATAAGGAACCAAGAGCCTGATGGTGATTCCATATAGTGCAAATATTTGTGTATTTGTCAAGTCCCACCCAGAAGCCTATGAATTCCTCAAGAGCAGGGGGATTTTATTACTTACCCTGGCTTTTCAGGACTTCAGGGGCTCACCAGATGGATGGTACTTTGTCCCATTTTCTCAAGTTGTGATTTCATCACTCCAAGCACCACTTTATTTGTATTTGTTTGTTTAACCCCATGATCTTGTCCAACCTTTCCCGGCCTTTCTGTATCCAAGCATCCACTCTCATGTCTAAATTGAATTTCACACCTGTGCATCCATGAGCATGGTATGTGCTGTCACAGTCTTGCCTAAGTACAGTTGTGGTATAGATTCCATTCTACCTTGTTCTCATTGCATCTCTGGAATAAAAGTGTCTGGCATACCTAGTGCCTGCCATTCAGAAGATCCTTAAAACTTTTTGAAAAAGATAATGTGTTGATTTCTATTTCATTACCTTTCTTACAGCAACATATGACCATTGAGTTAGGGTCATACACAGAGTTTCAGTGCTTCCTATAAGTAGGAAGGTATAAACTTCTTTTCTAACATTCTAAGTGTACCCGAGTGTCTTAGTTACTTTTATTATTACTGAGACAAAATACCCAACATGCAAAAGTTAAAAGAAGAAGAGTTTATTGCAGTTCACAGTTTGTAGAAGTTTCTATAGTGGGCTGGCTTCAAGGCATAGTGGCAGGGAAGAAAGGAATCACAGAGAAGTAGCCCATGGAGTGGAAAGAAGAAGGCACTGAAGCAGTAAGCAATAGCAATAAAACAAGCCTCCCTTTCCCTTTTATCTCATCCAGGCTACAACCCTTTTGGGTGGGGCTACCCACATCCAGGGTGAGCCTTCCCATTATCCACACACAAAACTGGGCTAGTTCCAAACGGTGGACTAATTTAGTAATGCACATCCTTCATCCCGGTATCACACACCCTAGATCCATCCAATCTTGAAAAGCTCCACCTAGGAGCACATGAGGCTTTGAGAGGACGTCTAGACACAAGCCATGACACCAAGAAAGGTTTCACTTATACTGGGAATTCCCAGAGTAAAGCAGAAAGATCACTGACACTGAAATCAGAATTTAGATATCTTTATTATTAGACTCTTTGAATCTAACATATTTGTAACTTGAGGGATCTCAACTTTACTATTTCTAAAATAAGAGCAACAAACTTATCTTGCTTTCCTATCAATAGGGTCGAATAAGCCAATATTTGTAAAGATTTGAGTAAAGATAAGAAATAAATTCTCTACCCTTATTTTGGTTTTTCTATAGTGTCACGAACTGGGAGGGAAATAAAAATGAGTTGATTGTAAGCTCTATGGGGAACAGCGGCAAACTACGTAGGTATGTCATCAATATTTACTGAATGGGGCAATGGATTGGACTGTCTTTTCCTCTTTTCATTCAAATACCTACTTGGCTTCATTTTTTTCTTTTTCAAGCCAAGCCTTTATGTTCCTAACCTAGAGGGGAAAAATCATCTTTCTCATGACTTCCATTACTCCATGGGACATGAATAGTACTTAACCTCTGATCTCATCAACATCACTGTCTTTAGGACTCAAGTTCTTTGGGAATTTGAACCACATTATCTTCCTTCCTTCAAACTCACATTTTCATATCAAATCAAGAGAGAAAAATACCTGTACATAGGTCATCAGAGAGCAAGAAATTTCTACCCTAAACTAGCAGCTAAGATTTAAAGGGAAATACTCTGTCTCTGAGGACTGAGAGACATGTTAGGAGAAAGACTTAGAGAAGCACCTCCAAAAAGAGAGACAGATGATGCCACTTGATCAGGTTTCATCCCACACCCACAATGGCCCTTCCAGGGCTTTTGCTTCAAGCATGGGGCTTGGGGCTCTATCCGTTACAGTACCAAAAGATCTGTCTTCAAGGAAGAAAAACCTTGTAAATACCCAGAGCACTCCTAAGGAGAAGCAACACTGCTTTGTTTGCTCTGACTACTTTCCCTTGTATTCCCTGAGAATAAAAACCAGAATTCAGAATTTAGACTTCAGCTTGTAGCTTCAGAATTCAAGCTACAATTAAGTTTAAATTTTCAAACCTTTGCTGTTAATCCTTTCTTAATTGACATGGATTGTATTCCCAATTATTAATGGAAGTGTAATTTTGGAGCTTAATTAAATGTTAAAATCACATTTCTGTCATTAAAAATGGTTTTAGATTTTTGGTTTTTTTTTTCCTAATGAGCTGTTTACCCTGCTGATAATTACAGTGTGGACAAAGGAGGAGATTGAAAAACAGGTCCAAAATAGTCAAAAAGAAATAGCTTTGCTATTGATAAAAATAATAACCTCGTGTACAGCAGGGGGTGGTAAGAAAGCCTAAATTTACTGCTGCTGTGTTGAATGTGCAAATGTCACTTCCTTAAAAAGGGAAAATTAGTTTTTAAGCCTGGTTTAGCAGCCAGAATCTCTGACTGTCTGCATAATATTGGATTTTTCAAGGCTTCTATGATGCCCTGGGGTGTGGTGTTTTGCATGCAAATTGCACTTATATAATGCTGAAGATGTTACATAAGGAAAAAATGAACACCCAAATCTTATCATTTTATTCTTTTTCATTCTTCTTTACAATAGTTCTAATCATTACTTTCAACTAGCATGGAAGAGCACCTCTGCGGTGCTTTTAAAGTTTTTAAATCTCATGACAATCATTAGGAAGAAGTAAACTTATCCAGTCTTTCTAGGTGAAGAAACTGAGGCTCTGAGATTTAAATGATTCAGCCATACATATGGAGGGAGGATGGTCTTTGTCCCACACTAGAACTTCTCAAACCAGAGAATGTGTCAGAACTTCCAGAGGACTTGTTAAAACACAGACTGCTGAACCCCAACCCAGAATCAATGATTCCAGTGATTCTTCGAGTGGAGCCTAGCAGTGTGTATTTTTAATGAGTTCCTAGGTTGTGCTGATACTGCAGGTCAGAGGGCACCACTTGAAAAATCACTGCTGTGCAACATGCTAACTTTTCCTCTGACTCTTAAACTTCAGGGCTAGAAGCCAGTCCAAAAGATCTTTCAATATAGGTGATTGCTCTCAGATAAAACATTACCTATGTGTGCCTGTTTTATAGACTAGTCATTAAAGAATTGCTGTGGGCAGCAGAGGGAGGGAACACCCTGCCCAGAGCCAGCCAGGTGATAAAGACCAGGCTATTCTCATTTATCATTAGGTTGACATTTAGTAGATAAGGTACCTTTAAAATACAAACATCTTGTTAGCTAGTTCCCCACACTACCCTCTCCTCTTAGGCTACACACAGTTGGAAGCGAGTTAGCATAAGAGGCAGTCCTTCACAGAGTGCAGAATCCAAGACTCATTGCCCCCATAAGGGGGAGGTAGAGAGGGGAATGAAGGAGAAAGGGGTGGGAGACAGGAGCCATCCCTTAGTCTGTGTCTAGGTCCCAGCTTCCCCAAGGCCTCACTCATTTCCAAAGAGCCCTTTTGTCACTCAGTCAAAATGAAATTCTCATCAAGACATCCAATATAAACTTGTAGACTTTGTGCACTAAACTAGCTTTTCAGGTTTTCAATTTAAAGGGTGCTTCTGGGGCTGGGGATTTAGCTCAGCAGCAGAAGCGCCTGCCTGGCAAGTGCAAGGTCGTGAGTTCGGTTCCTGGTACCGGAGAAAACCAAACCAAAAAAAAAAAAAAAAAAAAAAAAAATAAATAAAGGGTGCTTCCAAGTAGTGGCCAGGATGATGCCTGTCTGTCTGTCTGTCTGTCTCTCTCTCTCCACATATTAGAAATCTGTTTTCTCACAGTTTTGGAGATGCAAGTGCAGGATCAAGATGCTGCCAGTATTTGTTCCCCTTCCTGGCTTCTTGACTCCTGCAGCCTTGCTGTGCCCCTTAGACAACTTTTCCTCTGTGTGCAGGCAAGGGGGGAAAGAGAGATGGATGGAGAGAGAGCCTCATGTCTAAGTCTCTTATCAAATTGATACCACTCCTAGGCCCTATGTAATCTTTATTAACTCTTTATAGACCTTAGCTCAAAATATAGTTATACTTGAGGTTAGGACTTCAGCATATGAATGGGGGTATCCCAACCAAGTGCATACAGGGACCTAGGTCAATCCATGAACCTTTGTGGATCTCTCATTTTCATGCATAAAATAACAGGTTTGGGCCAAATGCTCTCATATATATCTTTCTCTCTATAAAGTAATTTTAGCACATTCTACCTCAGTGTTTGGTGATGCCCTGATCATCTTCCCCAATGCCACCTTCCCTTCATCTTCTATCAGACTCCAGGGGAGACACGGGATTCCCCAGCACTGCTGAATACACTCATTCCCCTGGGAAGAGCAGAGATGAAGACCTCAAACCCTCCCTGAACACACCAGAAGAATGGAGCCAACAGCAAGTGATGAGAAAGTTCTGACTCAGCAACTAGAGGAGCCTAAGGGGGCTTCAGCAGCTCTCAGATAATAGACCCAGGAGCAAAGAGCACTATGAATCCATTAAACACAAATCACATCACAGAAAATGGATCAGCCTTGGGATGAGCTTTATAAATGAGATCATGAAAGGGATAGAGTGTCTTTGATGTTGTAGACCTAAGGGACACTTAGAGCTAGAGCCTGGTATAACCATGAGATTGGCAGGCTTAAAGAAATACACAGTTACAGTTATAGATGAAGATGTAATTTTCCAAAGGAAAAGTTAACTTAACGCAGAAGAACTACACACACACATCCATTACATTAAATAATACTTGGTGACCATGGTCCCCAGCCTTAGTGTCTTGGTACCCAACACAGACAAGTCCGAACATGTTCGTTTGGAGAATGTGATCAGGCACAGGTGAGCATAAGCTTCTTGCCCAGCAGCAACTCCATTAGTTGTGGAAACAATGTGCAGGGATGCTGCTGATTCAGTGCAGACCACAGGAAAAGGTGCAGCCTCAGATCACATGAGCCCTTCCCGATCTGGTCCTTCCTGGCTCCTTGGGTCTTATCTCCATATGGGGTGAGTACTAAGCTCATAGTCACAGGTTTAACCATCCTGGAAGAAAGGCTTTTATCCTAGTGGATAAATCATTTTAGCAACTGCTTGTTAGTTTTTGGGGGGAAAAAGCAAGGAATACCAGATTCTTCAAATGGAGCACCTAAAGGAAGGCATACTGTTGGGGGATATTCATCTGGACTTCCTTCCGCCTGAGTCTCAGGTCTTATGGCGTGCCTGTTTATCATCGTCTTAGCATTAACACTACATCTTTATGTCATTTCTGTTTCTCTTCCTTCTTTTAGCTGCTGCCTTCCATCCCTGTTCTTTGCCACATTACCGAACACTCCTCCCACACTGGTTTCCTCTGCCCCCATGGCCTGCTTTTTCTGCCTACATCAGCACACCAACTGTGCCAGCCTGCCCACTCACGGTTTGTCCTTGCCCCTGGAGTGTCAAGTGAGCACCTATCCAGGCATTGTATGTGTAGCTCGTTCCTCTGGGTTCATGTTACCCAGAGGTCCTGTTTGTTACTGACTCATCTTTCTGCTACTTCGCCTGAATCAAAGATCTCAATTTTAGAAACTGAATGCTTAAGGCTTCCTTCATTTGGTGTCATCTGGGACTAAAGGTATGACAGTATCTTCTGCAACTTCCATATCAAGGAAGCAGCTCCAGCCAGCCCGGTTTTCTCAGTGCCTTACCCCTTTTTCCCATCTGCGTGCCTGGCACTCCTTTCATGGGGTGGGAATTGGACTTGTCTGACAACACACTGGAACTCTTGGCTATCAGTACTTGAAGGGATGACCTTTTTCACTGACCTTCATTTTGCCCATCTACCACATGCTAAATCACATTAATCTGACAATTACATATAAATTTTGCAGTGTACAAAAAGAATCAAAATGAAGTTGCTGGTAACTATTGTTTAGACACATTTTAGGCAGAAAAAAAAAAGTGGACTAACCACAATGTTCTATTTCACATCAGTAGTTGGGGAAAGACTGATATTTTGTGCCTATTGTTCCTCCCAAATGCGTCATTCCAATGCTCTGGATACTTGAATGAATTGCTTGTGCAGCACTGCTTTGGAGTTTATCTGTGTCACACTGACAATAAGATTTTAAAATACTGTAAGCAACATGGGGGATGTTCAGAATTTGCTTCTTCAAGGACATTTTTTACAAGGATAATAAAAATGGTTGCTATGAATATTTAACTCGCAAGATGCCTAATGCCTAACCATATTTTAACATCTATTTGGGGGGAGTCTGCAGAGAAAATAGCTACCCTCAGTACATGGGCAAAGAGAAGTCTCCTCGATACCTCTATGAACTAAAGCATATTGATAAAGATAGTGTGCATACTAGTTTTCCATGATCAGACATCTGCATAACAGCATTGAAATACTTTTATGCTCATTGATTTCTAAAATGTTGGTTTTGTTTTTCTTCATCTTGATAACAATCCTCTTGTCAAACCAACAATAAATACAAAATAGCCATGAAAATATAGATGAACAAATTGGCATCTTTTTTCCTGAGTTTTGAGATGGCAGAAAAGGAAAAGAATGTCCTTGGAGATGTTTTTCCTTATGCCCACATTCAGCATTTCAATCACACTAAGATTTAGGGATGCAGAAATGACAGACAAAATCATTACCCTCTGTGATACTCTTTAAAGACAGCTGTCAAATATTTCCAGTTGCCTATTTTCCAGGCACTTCCTGGTGGTTATGTGTTTGGCTGGCCCATGGGTCTACTTCTGGCTAAGAGGCCATGAGCAAACATGCTTATGTCACTTCCAGTCAGCTTATTTAATTGTCAGTACAAAGTTCTCCATTTCCTCTGCCACCATACTGCGTTGTGACAGAGGTGGTTCCTCAGGAATGTGACTGAGATACAACCCTTGGTGGGCCTAATCTAATCAGGTTAAGTCCTTTAAAAGAAGAGGAAGTATCAAAAGGAAAGGAACAGTTAATGCTTAAATGATTCATCTATCTTACATGCCTATAGCTGGTGATCTGAGCAAGTACTTTGAAGATAACAGTATGTAATATAACAACTATTGTTAATTTCCTATCATCTTGTTTTGAAATTCAGTGTCATTTTTATTGTTTTCTGTTGTTTTGGTTTGCCTTTGTGTTTGTTTTTTTTTTTTCCCCTTCTTCTTTTTAAAATAAAATTTTAAAAAACCACTCTTTTGTTGGCTGGAAAGAAAGCAAATAGCTAACAAGATATATATAACTTCAGGGAACTGAGTTCTGCCAACAAACATGCTTATGATGCTCTTGAATAAGCTTAGAAGAAGACTCTTTCCTTTTTTGTGCTGGGCTGTCTAGGAAAAACAAAGGAAATGAAATCCACCATGACAGGATCTGGATCATGGAAAAGTTGGTCATTGAAACTTCCAAGTTTTAGAGAGATAAAGCAACCTCAAAGGTCATTAAGGGAATTAGATGAAGATGATGTGAGGGAGATGCTTTTATCAACAGTGGGTCTCAACATGAGGATGACAGTGGATGCTCAGATAATATGCAGTTGTCACTAGGCTATCATTCCCTACTCCTCCACAAGTCCTCACTATTCATTATCATAAATTCATTATCATAAGGGGTGGTGCAGATAGAAAACACAAAGAGATTTCAAGAAGCACAGAGGTTAGAAAAGCAAACAAAATTTTCTTGCGCTCTCACCATTGGCTTTGTGTGATTAAAATATAGGACAGTAGCAGACCCTCAGAAAACAGTAGAAAAATAGCACCAATCTCTCTGCAGTCTCTGAGTTTTGTCTAAGAAATATCACACCACAAGTGTCCCTCCTATGGTGAGGCCCTTGACATATAATTCTTGCCTGCTCCCCTGACATTAAAGCACCTAACTTAAGCTCCAGTCATAAAAACTATTGCTTGATGAATAAACTACCTTCTCTCACCCAAGTTCCTTGCTTATGCTGCTCTTGATTTTCAAATCATATTATCTGGAGTTCTCCTGAGTGTCCTTCAAAACTCAGTTTGAGAGTTTTCTGTTGTTCCTTGATCTTCCAGGATGCTGAAGTGTTCCTTTCAGAGCACCTTGGACTTAACCTCTCTGCAAACATTTTCCATCTTTTATTATTGACGTTTACTCATCTGTTCTACTAAACTGTGAGCTCCTCAAGGGCCTCGCCTGTATTACTTCAAGATAGTGATAGGAGTAATTCATGACACACTCCTAAGTGCTGAATAAATACTTATTGGGTATGAGAAAGAATGAATTAAAAGTCATTGAGGTTGAGTATCTGAAATCCATCTTATAGCCACAAGAAAAGAGTCTAGTATCTGTCAGGATTATTTTGATGATTACTTCACGTATCTTAGACTTAATTGAAGTTCATAAAATCATCATCATTGACATGAGGCCTCAGTTTCTCAAAGCAAACACATAGAAGAACTACCCAGATTCAGACTCATGTGTTTACTTAAACAAGTTGGATTTTTTAGTCATGATTTGCTCTCTGTGAGTTCATTTTGCCTCAACAATTCCAGACAATAAATGAAATTCTGTGTTTTCAAAATTGTAGAACTACAACCAGGTCAATAAAATTGAATCCCAGCAAGTGAAAGGAATTTCACAGCCAAGGACATTGCCTAAAGGTATAAATTTGTCTTGTCACTGTTTTTGTGCCATTATGGACTTTAAACTTTCTATAGTTATGTATAAGCAATGTAGAGGGGAAGCAGTATGGATACAAAGCCATGTATAACTTCTCTAAGGGTCTTCCAACCATCTCCTCATCAAAGAGCCCACTGACTTTTGGGTCCAGATAATCTTGCAGATGCCCCAGGAGACCCAAGTTTCATCATGAAAACAGTCAATAATGTGTCAAGTTCAGAACCTCAATCTACACCCAAGTTCTCGGGAACAATTTCTTGTGACTCCTGTGACTTCCATTTACTTGTAACTTGAGAAGCAGAGGACCAAGTTCAAGCTCTTTCCAAACTTGTACTCTCAAAATAGTTGCCAGGCAGATCCAGATCCGCAGTCCATTGTTTTCTTTCAACTCGATTGTTCCTTTTAATGTTAAGTTTTAAAACTTGGAAATTTATCTTTTAATTCACCATGTCATTACAAGTGTATAGTTGAGAAAATGTAACAAAAAAGCAGAAAACTTCAAAAAAATTTTTCCTCTTTTCCCCTAACAATAAACCTTTCTTCCTAGTTAAGTTTCATTAATACTTACATGAAAAATAAGTTTTCATTTAATGACTGCCTGGTACTAAGGGGCAGGAAACTGGGAAAGTACTTCTAAACTATATTCATAAAAGTAATGATGATACAGTAGATTTAAGTAGATTTTAGAATTAATAATGAGCTTTCATTATTTTTCTCCTTTGACTTTCACAGCAGCCTTATAAGGGTTGGCTATGTAAGTCAGCAAACAAAAATTATTTATTGGAAAGAGCAAAGGTTTTAAAATTACACCATCCAGCTTCCAATTCTAATGGTGTCATTTATTAGTAATGTGATCTTTAACTAGTGGCTTGACCTATTCCCGCATCAATTTCTTCATAACCAAGATACCAATCTCTTGCTTGCATCATTCCCTGAATAAACACCTACTGAATGTCTATCATACTCCAGATACCTTTAGAAGTTTGAGAATACTGATAATATATGATGAAAATTCAAGAAAAACTAATAAAAAGAGTAACTACATTATGCTACATGAAATGCCTAGCATATGACAGTTTTTCAATAAATATGGTGGTCCCCTACTACGCTAATAAATGAAGAATAACTCTACTTTATAATTCAGAATAATCATATAACTTGTCCTTGGTCCCATACTAGTATGTGATAAAAAACAAATTGTACTTAAAACTGTACATGTCAGCCACGTCCCAACAAAAACACAAAACAACAACAACACTTCAGCTTAGCTTTTGGAAGATACTTTGTGAGGATGTAACTACTTACAGAAGTATCAGTCAGGTTAATGTACCCCAAAGTAAGTGTTCAGGTACCTTGGGAATAAAAATGGTGA